TGGCCGGACTGACACTAAGCAGAAGACAGGCGGTAGTGGCCACCCAGCGCTGCGAATCCATCTCATCACCGTGAGCGGTGAGAAGGGACCCTTGGCCGGGGAACCCTCTTCTGAGCCAGCTGCCTTCTCAAGGTGCCGTGATATCGCAGGGTGCAGGCACAGCCGGGCACTAGCCCAAAGCAACTCCGTTTGCAGGCAATGGACGCAGATGCCCGTTGTGAGACGGTGGAGGCAAACGCTAGTGGTCACATCCCCCCCCGTGCCTGGTGCTGCCATGGATGCCACCGAGTGCTGCTGGAGAGCTGCGGGCTACCATCCACGCCGCTGAAAAGGTTGCTGGCAAATTGGTGATCGTGCGGAGTAGAAATGAGATGAAGGAATGGGAGACTTGAACTATCATCATCGGAAGCGTAGCAAAGGGGAGCAGGAGGAGAAAAAAGTCTCCCCAGGCTGCCTTTGCAAGGGTTGCCAAAAAACAGCACATACATCCGAGATGTGCCAGATGTTGCTGCTGCCCAGGAATGGGGCTGCAGGTCTGTGGTGCCATCATGAGCAGATGGCAATGGCTGGGAGGAGCCCAAGGAAGTGGGGGAGGAAAGGAAGAGAGACCCAGCTGCCAAAATGCCTTGCCTTGGCGCTGCTCATGGTAAGGGACTTGACTCAGTTTTTGAATACCTCAAAGAGAACTTTAAATGTTGACTTGCTTGCCTGTGATCCACAAGCACGCATGAAGTGAGGCCTCCTCTAAAAACGTAAGGTTCAACGGGAAGAAATGGGAGCGGGAGCAGCCCAAGCAGAATCTCAGCGTAGGCTTGTGAAACTGGGGGCAGAGAGGATCTGTCGCTGGAAGGGCTCCCCAGGGGTCTCGCACGCTCGCCACCACTTGCAGTCTGCTATCAAAATGGGATCTTTCCCAAGGAGCGCTCCCGCTCAGCCGTGGCGAGATGCAGAAATCGCAGGGTGAAATTTTATGGCCTGCGTTATGCGGGAGTCAGACAAGCTGCTCCTGCTGGCTTTACAAGGCATCAATCTACCACCCTCTCTCAAAGCAAAGCAAAATCCAGACTGAAAGGGGTTTTATTAAGTCCAGCAGTCAAACCCTGGAAACGGTATCTCAATTCATTTGGTCAAGCTGTGCTGAGGTGCACGCAGGAGGTAGGAGACCATGAAAAAAAAGGCTGGTCTTGTCAGAAAAGCCTACGGCTATGAACCAGGCGAGAGGGTTTTACATCTAGCTCTGCCACGACGCCCCAAGGCCGCGCTGCCCGCACCTCCTACGTCAGCAGCGCGGTTGGAGGTGGCCGACGCAGCCTCAGCGTCGCTGCCCAAGAGCCGCTGGAGACCCGCCTCACCCCTGGGGACCGCCAGGATCCTGCGGTGGCTCTGACCTCCCGAAAAGAGCGGACGGAGGAGCTGCCAGCTCATCCAGGGGGCTCACCCAAAGCCGGCAGACGGCTCAGAAACGCAGATTATCATTTTCTCTTTCATTCCCCACCTAGGGTGGAATTTCTCCCCTGGAAGGGGAGCTGCGAGGATAAACTCATTAACATCTGTGAAGTACAGATACTGCTGCACTAAGTGCATTGCAAAAGCTCATGAGATGACTGTTAATTACATATTCAGTGCGGGGTTGTAACGGCATGCATTAAAAATGGCATGGGGTCCCCACTTTAAATAATGGGGATAAAACAGATTAAACATTTGCCCCCGTTCCGCGGGCTGAAGAACGCAATTCAGAAAGACTTCATCCAATATATTGTCATCTCAGGTACCTTCGTACCACACGGGGATGGAGCAAAACAGCCTTCATGTCACGTTTCCTAAATTGCACGTATTTAAAATGCTAAATTTACTAAAGTCTCTCCATCGTCAATGGAGAGAGACTGGCACTTTCCTAATCCAAGCTCTGCATGCATTATGGCAGGGCAGATCCTCTGCAGAGCAGAATCACTCCCAGGCTCCTTCCAACTAAAGCAAATCTGTGATACAGGGGGAGCAGATGTCTTCAGCGAAAGCAACGGGTGGCCAAGTGGGAGACTCAGCTCAGTTCCCAGCTCAACGTACCCCACAGAAGTGGGTAACAGCACGGCAAAATGTTGGGGAGGAAACAGTGGGCAGCGAGGTAAAATACCAGGGATGACAAATGCCTGAGGAGCTGGCACATCAGTGCCAAGACACTGGAGAACTCTTCATCAGAAACATCGTAATTCCTCCTGAAAAGGACCCGGCTCAGCCCCTGCAATACAGCATTTTACTGCAGTCTGCACAGTAAAAGGTGTCCAAAAAAGGAGGACACTGATATGTGTGTTAATCAAGTGAAGAACCATCTACAAAGAAAAGGCATGGATCTGTCTTCCAGTTGAAAAGCTATAAATAGCCTTGCATACTTGCTTATCAGATTGGTTCGGCTGCGGGGATAATCTCCTGGAGAAAGCAATGGAAGCCCTGTTATGTTGGATATTTATAACCAGATGAAAGCCTAGAAAATGCACAGTCGTGTCAGTCTTGTGCTCGTGCCGCGAGATAGGGTGTGTGGGATCCAATTAGTCTCTTCGGTTTAATATAAGGTCAAGAAAGCTTAGTCTTCCCAGCTTCACGAAAAAACCCAAGATCTGGTCTCTTTGAGGGGCTGGTGCTGCTTGAGCAGCTACAGAAGCCAAGACAAGGGCATGGCGAGACAGTCCCCAGAAGGTCATGACTGTCCCACATCACTGGAGACTCTTTGCAAAAGCAAGACATGGCCCTTCTCTGGACAAAGAAGGACAGAGACCTCTTGTTTGCACCACAGAGAGGTCTGACGTGCCACGTCATGGGCCGGCAGACCATGGGAAATGCAACCCTGATGAACATGACCGGTAACTTGTCATCTCCAAATCACCCAGCCTGGTGCCAGGGTCCCCTAATAGACTGCTTAATGGAGCACGACCCTGACCCCAGCCCCTCAAGTTCATTTGCCAGATTATCTGCGGAGCACCAGGACCGACTAGAGTTAATGCCAGTGGATTCCCCAGCCTTGGCCTGCCACGGCCTCTGCGCTCAACTGGGTTTATCCAGGTCAGGCCAGCTGCTGGAGGCACCGGAGCCTGATTGCCAACTGCTGCCACGTGAAGGGAGCCAAGCCAGGACCAGCCAGGGGGTTACGGTTATCCCCCGGGAGGCTCTGCACATGCCTGTGCCACACGTGGATTGGTGCGTGGAAAGGCATGCGGTGATTTCTGTCCTCCTGGGCTGTAAACATGCATAGGGTCTCTTGTGCAAAGGGAGGGAGATGCCTAATTTATAGGAGAGGTTGGGTTTTGTGATGTTGTGGGCAGGGAGCCATGCCCAGGTGCTCTGCTGCTGAGAGCCACTGATCCGGGCAGTGTCCCCTGGCCTTCCCCAGGTCTGCTCGGCCCCATCAAGCAGACAAGGAACATCCCAGGGACTACAGGCAGCCCTCTCTGTCCTCCGTCTCCTGCTGTAGACCCTCCAGCTCCTCCTCTCTCTCCTCTTTCTAGTTTTAGCCTTGCTCCTCCCTCATCGTCTCTGGGTTGCCTATGACCTTCAGGGATCCACACTTTCCTCTTCCAGCCCCATCACCACCACTGCCACACTATAGCATCCTTCAGCACAGCCATGTGGCATTTCCTTGCCCACATGCCCTTCAAACCTCCCTTGCAGGCCCCTGGCTGGTTCTCAGGGGCACTTGGGAAGTCCAGTACTGTCATCCTGCGCCAGCATCCAGACAACCTCTCCACACTGCTCTTCCCAGTTGACTGGCTGGTACTTTGGGGAATAAAAGTGGTCTGCACAACACTCTGAGACCGGAGGGTGCCTCATATTGCAAGAGCAACAAAGAGCTTTGGGAACCCTGCCAAACCCGGCACCACCACCATGCCTTGCTTCAATGGTCACAGCATAGCAAACTTCAGCATTACTCCAGGAATGAACCTGGGAAGAAGGGAGAAATGTTCCACTAGACCTTCAAAGCCATGAATTACCCTGGGCCCCTTGTGTTCCTTAACAGGGGGACCCAGCAGGTTTGCTGCTCCCTAGACCAGCTGAACACACTCTCAGCCAATTTCACACCACATACAGACCTGTCCCAAAGTCAAGGTTGCTCCCAGAAGTAGGAGGAGACTTCAGCAGAACCCTTTGCACCTCCTCTTTTTCCCTCCCAGAGGTTTCTTTGAACTTGCCAGCTCCACTGCAACCTCCCCTCAGCACAAGAGCACAGAAGGCAGCAGGTACAGGGAAAGTAGATGTTATGTGCACAGCCAGAGCCAAGCCCGAGGAAGCAGCTTAAGCTGGCCAGAGAAGGTAGCTTGGGGAGCGGGCTGGTTGAGGGTAGTCAGGCAGGCAGCACAGAGGCAGCATGAGGAGCAGAACCGGGGTTGAAGCTGCGCCAGGGTGGGGGAAAGCCAGCTCTCCTGCGGTGGGATCACAGACGCCACTAGTGGGGTCCTCAGCTGAAGGTGGACCCGAGTAGGAGATGGCCTGGAGGGCCCCAACAAAGGCAGGACATGTCGCGCTCGGGTTTGCCACCATCACGCCCTCTGATCCTCCACTCTATGATTCTCCTCACCCCAGTCCGTGACACTAAACCTGCTCCCCCCCTTCCTCTCCCTGGGCAGCTCCCACGCCGACACCCACCATAGCATGGAGAGCTGCATCAACGCCCCGACTGCCCCTGCACCCCTGCCCTGCCACGGGGGCAGGCACCTGCGGGAGACCCATCTGCTTCCTCAGCTCTTCCCACCCCCACGTCTCCTGGCCTCCCCCAGACCTCCTCCCCCTCATCCACCTCTCCCCTCCCCACCAAGTCCTTGCTGCTCTCATGCTTTCAGCCTCACCTCTTCTCCAGCCTCCCCGCCCCACCAGACTTCAGCGCGGCAAGCCTGTCCCACCCGAGCTCCATGCCCCTTCCCGCCCGTGCCAGGGGAGGTGCAGCACTGAGGATGAAGAGCTTCGGGCGCAGGGTCCCCGCCGAGGGGGCAGGCACATGTGCCATGAGCGCCTACCGTTCTCAGGGTGCTCCATCTCCCCGATGCTGCCGTCGGGCGTGGTGCGTTCATAGTGATCCTCAGGCAGGGCTAGCGGCCCGATGCGGGGCCCCGACGACGATTTGCTGCTGGGGGTCTCTGACTCCTCCAGCCCACTGTCATAGTAGCTGTGCTGGGAGGGATCCTGCAGGTCCTGAGCCTGGCTGGCTGCAGAGAATGTCACTCGGCGATGAGGTAACTGGAAGAGAAGAGAAAAGCTGTTGCATCATCCACCCTGCAGATGAAGGCAAAGGGGGGGTCATCAAACCTGACCCATAAAAGGAGACAGAGTGCTCCCACCCAGCGCTCCCAACACCAGCAGGGTCCATCATCAGCCCCCCGCAGCCAGCCCGACAGACAGTGCCCAGCCAAAAGCTCCCCATCAGACACCACCCCATGCAGGGAGCACACTATGCATGGTCCCTCAGCCCCCCTCACCCAGCCGGTCCCTCCATGGCTCGTGCCCCAGCCTCCTCTCCCACCCAGAGGCAACCCTGGGCAGATGCCCTCTCCCATGACAAGCAGGCTCCAGAAAGGTCTCCCGTTAGCAGCATCACCCTGGGTCATCGCCCCCCACCCTTCATCTGGGGTCTCCACTTTGCACTCAGACCCTGCGTGCACTCTGGGTGCTCTCAGAGACCCACGGGCCCGCCGCTCCCCAGCGCCTCTCTAATGGCATCACTGCCCAGCGCAGAGCTTCGCTGACATCATCCCCCTCTGGCCTGACACCATCTCTCATCCTGAGAGCTTCCCCACCTAGGGTCACTGTCGCTTCTTTTGTCCGCTCGTTAAACATTTCAAAGACCCTACTTCACGCTTCCTCTGGCCAGCTTTGCCTCATCCTTGGGAGGAGCTCCCTGCAAACAGCCCTTAAGCTACATCATTATCCTCCTCCAAAGCCTTCCATAAAATCCTGCTTTGTTGTGATTACCCAGGAGTGGAAAGGGGAGCACCAGTTCACAGGGCAAGAGCAGGCTGATGAGTGTGGAGAACAAAACACAAGCACCAAAAAGACACAAAAATCACCCACCACCGTAGGAAGGAGCCCAAGAAAGGAGCTATTTGATGGGGATCTGGAGGCGATCAGGAGAGAGAGAGGAACCAACACACCATTTAGACTGAATACCTTTTTTTTTCCGCTGATGTCTTTACCACAACTGAGCAGCAATCAGGCGTCCCACCCAGCCAGCACCAATGAGGAAGGAGAAGGAATTGAGACCAAGGGAGGGAAGGAACACACAGGGAGCATTTAGATGAGCTAGCTGCTTTTAGGTTGGTTGGACCTGATTAAATTCACCCCAGGTACTTAGAGACCTGATTTAAGTAACTTCAGAGCTGTTAGGGCTTTTTTTTTTTTTTGCTTTTTTTTTTTTTATATAATTTTTAAAAGAATTTGTAGAGACTCAGGGAGCTTCCAGAAGACTGGAAACGAGCTAAAATAGCGCCTGTCTTTAAAGATGAGGGAAAAAAAAAGAAGAGCTGGAGAATTATAAAACAGTTAGCTTAATTTCAGTTCCTGGAAAAATACTGAAGCAGATGAAAGAACTCTTTGTAAGTACCTACAAGATAACAAGGAAACGAGTAACAGCCACTGTAGGTTTGTCACAAACAAACATGTCAAGCTGTTGAACTTCTGCCTTTGAAAAGACATCAGGCCTTGTGGATGGAGGAGGAGCAGCAAATGTTATAGCTTGACTTTAGGAAGTTTTTTGACGCTATTTTAGACGATATTCGCATAAGCAATGCAGGAAAATAGTGTAGGTGCAGCATGCAGTACCTAGCATATAGAACCACAGAATCATTTGGGTTGGAAAAGCCCTTTAAGCTCCCCCAGCCCAACCATTCCCCTAACCCTGCCATCCCACCCCCAAACCCTGGCCCCAAGCACCGCGTCTGCCCGGCTGTTAAATCCCCCCCAGGATGGGGACTTGACCCCTTCCCTGGGCAGCCCCTTCCAGTGCTTGAAAACCCTTTCACTGAAAAAATTTTTCCTAATGTCTAATATATGGTGCAATTCACTGCAGGGTGGATGCAAAGCATTTAGCAAATCATATTCAGAAAGTAATTACTGAAGACAGGCCCTTCAGCTGGGATGATGCAGCAAATGAAATTCTCCGGGTTGTGTCCCGAGTCCATTGCTAGCCCGTATTTTCATGGGTTGTGTCCTGAGTTCATTGCTAGCCCATATTTTCATCAACAGCTTGGATGACCGACGTGGAATATATCCATCACATTTGCTCACATGGGGAAAAGGATCTCCACACAAGCAGCAGGCCAGCTGAAGGACTGGGGGTTACAACAGATCATGGGTTGACCAGCCGTCAACGGTGTCAGTCTCTCACCAAAAACCACATCTATGTTGGGACCCGAAAACAGGCGTTTTGTCTTCAAGTCAGGCAGGGATCCACCTGCTCTGCTGGGCTCAAGCAGGACTTCAGAGGCAGAGCTGTGGCCAGGCTGGGCACCACTTTTCAAGAACACGTGCACCAATTAAGCAGAGAGGAACAGAGACTGGCAGCCATTAGAAATCAGGGCAAGATGTAAAAGAGACCGAGGAAACTGGTTTGGGGAGGAGAAGGCTCAGTGTGGCAAAGGCAGCGCTCTTCAAGCCCGTAAAAGCCTTCTGCAAAGAGAAAGCTGCTGCTTTTGACCATGGATGGATGAGAAGGAATGGCCTTCACCTGCAGCAGGGAAGACCGAGGTTAGCTGCTACGGGCTAAAAACCCACTATGGTGGGTTTAGCCAAGCGCAATCGATTGCCAAAGCAGCAGATGCCATCCTCGTCATGAAGGGCTAGGCCAGCACCTCCCAGGAGGTCATTGTGCACAGCTCTGGAGAAGCTGAGGTCAAGGCAGACCCTCCAGAGGTCCTCTCCCAGCCCACGTTGTAGGCTGTGCTGCTGCATAAAGCCTGCAAAAGCCTTCACTGAAGGCATCACCGCCCACCGCACCGGGCAAAGCTGTCCCACAGCTTCCTCCTGCGCCCCAACTGTCCATCTGAAATGGTTTTCCTCCGCCACTGTGGCTCATCCCTAGCTTGAAGCTTCTGCTTTTCACTCGGCGCTTGTTAAAACCCCCGACAAACAACCAGGGCTCCTTGGGGTGCCGGCAATAATACAAACAAACAGCCTCAGAAACCCAGCCTGCGACAGCTCCTACCCCTCCCCTGAGGGGTCTCCTTCCAAGTAGCATCACTTTTACCTAAAAATCACCGCCTTTTAAATGTCAGACCCTGCCTGGCCACCCTCGAAAGGGCTCTTCGCCAAGGCAAGGCAACCCATGCTCAACCCCGCTCCCCTCCAGCCGTCCCTGAGCAGCGGCACGGCACCGGCGGGGGTCAGCGGCCCCCTCGCACTCTGCGCGGTCCCCACCATGCTGTGACCCATGCACTTAAAAAAATAATAGTAGCTTGTGTCTGGCTGATGCTCTCCACCCGGAGAGCCTTGTTCTGGGAGTCACGGAAAAACACTGAATCTATTTGTCTGGCACTGACTTACAGAAATTGGGTTTCGTTTGACCTTTCTCTGCAGGGTTAAAGAGCCTTTCAGCACGCAGTGCTTTCTGCACAAGAAGTTGCTTGTACAAGCGCAATCAAGGCACCCCTCAATCTTCTTCGTTGAGAAGTTAAACAAACTGGGCTCCTTAAGTCTCAACCTGCAAGCCAGCAAATCAGCCACGTGGCCCCCATCTTGTCTTGCCCCCATTTTTCCCCATTCCTTGCCCGAGGGGATCCCCACAGGACTGCTGGTGGGATATCTCACCAGGTCTTTCCGCAGAGCCTTGTTTCTCCTCCTACCTCTCAGGTCTTTTCATCCAAGGACTGTATTGGCCCTTTGGCAGCAGCGCCGCGAGCGCTCACGCTGAGCTACTCATGCAGTGTGACCCTTAAATCCATTTGGAAGTCGCTGCTTTCCAGGATATAAACCAGCAATCCCCGTTTCTCCATGTACAGCTTTGCATTTGGCTGTGTTAAAATGCACTTTGTTTAAATGGGCCCAGTTTACCAAGCAATCTGGATTGCTCTGCATGACTGCTCTATCCTCATCATGATCTCCCACTCCACCAATCTCCGTGTCAGCTGCAAATTTTATCAGCGGTGATTTTATATTTACTTCCAGATCATTGATTGCAACGTCGAATGGCAGCGGGCGCGGTACTGCTGCCGAAGAGCTCCTCCAAGGAGAACCTCCTTCCACGAGGACTCCCAGCCAACGACTGCTTGCTCTTCTTCGCTAGGCTGTTGATAAACCAGATCCTCCTCTATCTAACAACGCTTTAATTGCAATGCGTAGCGTTCATTCAACATAACAACAACCTAACGCATTATCAACTCGGCGTCTTCGCCAAACTCCACGTTGATCGGCTGCGCGCTGTAATCTCACGGCGGGGTTAAAACCAGCTCTGCTGCGTCAGACCCACAGGCATGCCCAGAGCAGATCCCGCTCCCCACAGCGGCTGGGAGCGGATGCCTAAGGAAAGGTTTAAGAGCTGGACCCGTCACGTAATGACACTGCCCGGTGTCCCTCCCCATCAACCCGCGTTGCCTGACGTCAGCCATATTTCCATCATGGAGCGTCCTGCCCAGCTATTACCGCAGTTGTTCCCTGGGGCTGGCAGGGCCGCGGGCGGTGCACGCAGCGTCCCCACCACGATTCCCGCTGGCTCCCAGCATCGCTGCCCTCCTGGCCCACCCTGGGGTGGCCAGCTCCGGTACCACCCCCGGAGCAGCGAGCTCCTGCTCCAGACCTTTGAAGGCACAAATTTACTTGATTATTTCAAATATCCCTGTTTCAAGGAGGGGATGTTTCGAATCTCTCTGGTTACCAGTGCATCGGCAGGTACTGCATCCTGCGCTGTTACGTCTCAGTCTAAATTACTACAACTATTTATTGAATACTTTTGCATTTTTCTACATAATTAACAATTTTGCAGCCTCCATTTGGAAATGACAATTACTGGGTTCCACCTCCTCCCCGCACATTTTTTAAAGCACTCCTTATGGTGTTTAGCTTGTCAAAATTGATTTTCCCCCAATGTTTTTGGCTTTCCTTGTCAATTTTCTACACTCCATAACTACTCATTTCTACTAATTGCTATACACTCCCTCCCCC